TGGCCAGTGAGGTAATCATTCATGCTCTTGTAATGAAGCCTCCATAAAACTCCCAAAAAGGAGGGGGTTTGGAGAGTTTCTAGGTTGGGAAACCAGAGTGCTTCCACACACCACTGTGCCAGACTCCAAACTCCATGAGGAGAAAGTCTCCTTTCCAGAACCCACCCTATGTATCTATTCATCTGGCTGTTGATTAGTATCCTTTAGTATCCCTTGTAATAAATCAGTCATCTAGGGTGTAAACAGGTTTCCTGAGTCCTGTAAACTACTCTAGCAAATTAATCAAACCCAAGGAGGTGGTCGTGGGAACCTCTGATTTACAGCCCATCAGTCAGAGGCACAGGTAACAACCTGGGCTTGTGATTAGTATCTGGAGGGGAGGAGGCAGTCTTGTAGTACTGAGTCCTTAACCTATGGGACCTGATGCTCTCTCCTGGTAGGTGGTGTCAGAGTTGAATTGTACGATACCTTGCTGATGTCTGAGAATGGCTTGGTAGTATAGGAAACACACACATATTGGAATTGAGTGTTGGAATCATTTTAGTTATCAACTATAATCACCATGTTTTACATTAGATACTTCCATAGCATTAGTTTCAATTCTTTGAATGTTTGGTGATATTTTCCAGTAAAACCACATGGGCATTACGCACTTTTATATTCAGAATTTGATCCTTATAACATCCTTGCAAAGAAGACATTTTACAGATATGGAAACATAAGACTCAGAGATATTAAGTGACTTAGCCAAGATCTAGAAGTCTTCTGATTCCAAGTTCAGTGTTATTTCCACAGTATTATAGTTCTGGAGTTAGATCACTAGGAAAGAAACAAGGAAAGAGGATAATTGTATCTGTTCTTGGTCGCTTTTGTTTTGCTGGGTACCAGTTCCTTTCTTGCTGACATTCAAGTTAGAGGCGAATCAGGCAATTAGTGAATTGCAGAGTGTAAACCCTAGTACTGTTAGTATAATCACAGAGGTACAACCTAAAAGATTGATGCTCAGGGGACATGGTATTGACGGCCAACTGCAAAGCCCCTGAAGCAAAGCAAACAAAAATGTCCAGAGAGAGAAGGACATTCTACATTCTGTGGTTCCTGATAGTTCCCTGGGAAGTTTCAATGTGCCATCTCCCTCTTTCTCCCTCATCACCTGGCTCAAAATTTCCTGCCAGGAATGATGTCTCCTTTAAGATAGGGTTTTCACCACCTTCACTATCCTTTTTGTGCATTTTTCTTCCTGCTCAGAGCATATCACTTCCCCATTCAGTAGCCTTCAGTGATTCCCAACTGTCTATATTTCTCAACTTTATGGTTGTTGTCTAATGTCTATGGTTCTCAAACTTACAAGAACGGAATAATCACCAGAAGCAACTAATTAAAAATGTAGACTGTTAAGTCCCAAGCCCAGGGATTTTGATTCAGTAAATCTAGACTGGGACCTAGGCATGTGCATTTTAATAACCTTCCCCTAGTGATTCTAGCACAAGTGGTCCACAGAATACACGCTACCAAACAGGGATCTCTGGCATAAAGGTCACACTCCTTGGCCAGGCCTTCAAGGACCAGGGGGAGTTTGATTTTCAAATTTGATTCCAGCTTACTTAGCCAACAGTACCTTCCTCACCCCTACCCCGACCCCTACCAGTTCCTACAGCCCAATCACAGTGATTAAGACTAGTTGGTAAGTGTGCTTTACATTCTTCAATGCCTGAGGGTTTGCTGAAATTCCTCACTCTCCTTGGAAATGCACAGTTACTCTCTCCTGTCCCTTTTCCTCCTTGCCTTTAGCATCTCAACTTTGTGTACAGTTCAAATGGTAGGTTGCCACACATTAATAGGTTGTGGCTTGCTTTTTATTTAAATTTATGATTGCTAAAATAGAATCCACTAGAAAATGCCAGTGTGCATTGCAGTAGTAAGAGTATTGTAATATTTTTTTTTCAGTTATTTCAACGTATACATTCATTTGTATGTATTGTGTCAAGATATAAAATGTATTTCTTACTGTGAGTTGCAGTAAAACAATAACATTGAAGGCCACGGCTATAGCACTCACTTGATTTGTCTCTCATTGGAGCCATCAGGATAGCCTTCTGTTTCTCTATTATTGTGACCCTTTGGAGATAATATATAAAGCCATCTTTACCCTTTTATCCCTCTATCATCATGGTGTTTTGTGCTCAGTGAATACTAGCTGAGTTAAATCAGCTGCATGATCACTGTCATGACTGTGCTGGGTTTAACTATTTCAGATCAAGCATCCTTTTTTAGGTGTAGGGACCCTTTCTTTCAGAAGTTGTCTCTTTGTGAGACAGTATACTCTGGAGCACTGCCAAGGGGAAGCGGCCCCTCACCTTGGCCAGAAGAAAAGGGTAACATTTTCTAAGGCAATGAGTTTCCTTGGTGCAGTGTATTTCCCCTGGTAATTCTGGAGTGTGGTCTGAGGAACGGAGTGGGTGGCTCTCTGGATGAAGATGACCCAGTGGAAGGACACCCTAGAGGGGCGAGAGTAGGCAAGGCAGCTACATGAGCCTTTGTTGAGATTTTGTTGTTCAAACACAAGTCACTCTGCCGGATGCTCAAGATCCCAAGAAGTCTTCGGCATGGGTGACAGACTGAACCGCATCTGGACCACAGTACATTTTCCTAAGCCTGCAGAGTGTCTCAAACAGCAATTTAATGGGTTAAGGTTATTTGAATGTAACTCATCTTAAAACCAGCTTGCTTCTCACATGTGGGTTAACTAGACATCTCCTCGTAGCTTGGGAGTTTGGGACCTCTTATCCACAGCAAGGTTCCTGACTTTGGAGAACTCAACACACGAAAGGAGTGAAGACACAACCTCTCAGAAACAATTTCGACGCCCATGAACTGGGTGGACTGTGAGCTAGTAGGGCAGGGAGGGGATGGTGGGCGGGGCAAGCATGCGGGACGTGGGCTTGAGCTGGGCTTCAAAGGAAAAGCTCGAGTAAGTGGAGAGTAAAGGGAGGGCACTTTCTGGAGAGCAGGGAGAGGAAGGAAGGCCTGGCTTATGGCAGCAGAGCACCCGTGACAGCCAAGAGCCAGAAGTAAATGATGGTGAGGAAGACGGACGTGAAGGGCCACGGGAAGGGAGAAGGGGCTATGGAATTTATTCAAACACCAGAAAGATTTTGTCACAAGGCCTACACGATTTGTCCTCATCCTCAAAATAAGACTCGAAAACAAATAAAATAACATGACTTTAAAAAAAAAAAAAGATGACACACCTATTAGAGTGGCTAAAATAAAAAAGTACTGATAATACCAAATGCTAGTGAGATTGTACAGCCACAGGAATTCTCAGGCATTGCTGCATGGTGCAGCTTCTTTGAAGACAGTTAAGCAGCCTCTTGCAGATTAAATATACACTTCATACAATCCAGTAATTACACTCCTAGATATTTACCCAACTGAGTTGAAAACTTGTGTTCATATAAAAGTGTGCACAAGAATGTTATTTCAACTTAATTTAATCCTTGAAAACTTGAAACAACTAAGATGTCCTTCAATTGCTGAATGGGTAATGAAAAAGTGGTACATCTAGACAACAGAATATTATTCAGCAATGAGAAGAAATGAGTTATCAAGCCACAAAAATACATGAAGGAAGTTTAGAAACATATTGCTAAGTGAAAGAAGCCAGTCTGAAGAGGCTACATAATGTATGAGTCCAGCCATTTTTCATTTTGGAAAAGGCAAAACTATAAATATCACAAAAAAGATCAGTGGTTAAGGGAAGGGAGAGGGATGAGTAGGTGGAAAACAGTGGAATTTTAGGGTGGAGAAACAATTCTGTATGAAACTATAACGGTAGATACATGTCATCATCATGCAACTGCCAAAACCCATAGAATTTTACAAAACAAAGAGTGAATCTTAATGTAAACCATGGCCAATAGTTAATAACAGTGTGTCAGTATAGACTCAAGTGTGACAAATGTACCACACTAATAATAGGGGAAATGGTGTCGAGGGAACAGAGAAGAAGGTGGAGGGCTGACTACATAGAACTCTATGTATTAACTCTCTGTTCAATTATTCTGTAAATCTAAAACTCTGGTTAAAAAATTAAGTCTATTAATTTTTAATTAGGTTTATTGATTTTTTTTTTAACTCTAAGATTTCACATTGAAAGAAAAAAAAGGCAAACGTGATAAGAACTATTTTTAAGAGCGCCAACAAGGTAACCCTGGAGACTTGCTTGTCAAGGACACAGCTGTCCAAGCCCCTGTTCACTCACAGAATCCCTCACCTATAAGATAAAAACATGCTGTGCAAGCTCACGCGCTATGGGACTTGTGCAATAAACCCCCTTGAAAGTAAGACGACCCAAATTTTCATCCCCTTCCTCATTTCCTGGGGTTTCTTATGAAGATGATATTGGGCTTGTCTGGTAAATTTGAAAAAGCACCATTACAAATTCCTTGCAAAGAAAAAAAGGCTTTTCTCTGGCTGCACTTTGCTCAAGCAACTATAATGACAGGTTTTTCAGTCTGATTGTTAATTTTCCCTAATTAGGTAGAAGACCCTTTAAAATTGTTTTGGTGGTTTTTCTTTTCTGAGTAACCAGATGCAGCAATCAGCCCACCTTTCATATTTTAAGAAGGCTTCGCTTTCTTTTTTTTGTTTAACTACTCCTTTACTTTGGAATTTCTGCAAGTGATCAGACGGGTGATTTCCAATCTGTGGCTCTAATGGCTTTTAGTGAGATGCTTGTTTTAAATCCCTCAGAACTATACCAGCTTGTTCAGCAGAGGACCTTTAAAACTGGATTAATCCCCTTGAGTTCTAAATCCTTTGCTTTGGGGGCTTGAAGTCATTTTTTGAATCACCACAATTTGCTTTGAAGTTGGCACTTTCTGTTTAAATGGCAAGAGATGGGAAATAAGCCTTACAGGGCTGAACATATTGATTTCAATCATCACCTTTAATCCATACCTTTCCTCTATAATGTGTGGTTTTCTTCTCTTAATTAGAAAGAGCCAGAGATTATCTGCACAAAAGTGGAAGATTCATTGTGATTGGCGGAATTGTCTCTCCTGTCCATGACTCCTACGGAAAACAGGTGGGTCCCTCCCCAGCCCCTCTCGTCCCTCATCCTCCCTCATCCTCCCTCCCTGACTGGATGGCTTCTCTAGCATAAAGCTGCCGCAACTGCCATCCTTGCCACGATTTCTGGAAAGGAAACGCAGATGCCCAGTAGCAGCTTCCCATCTCTGGGCCACAGTCAGGCCCAAGCACATGGGTGATGGGCAGCAGCTGGGAGGACAGCTGCCCGTGGCCCCATCAGAACTCACTGAAAGCGGAGCCTGCGCCTGCACTGAGGGCCAGGTATGACTGGGTAAGGAGGCCAAATCATGGTCTGCTTATGCGCTGGGCACATGTTTCCTGGGATTCTAGGAGGAAAAGGCCTCCGCCTTTCATCATCTGATAAAAAATTCGTGTCCCTGCCCCTCCCTCCCTGCCACAGAAAACCGAGTTCTCCCAGGCATTCCCTTTCTCCCCCAACTACAGGTCGGTGGTCTGGAGGGAAGGGGGCCAGCTACGCAGCCAGATTGAGCCATGAGACAAGGCAGCATTTGCCAAGTCAGTCTCATCTCTACGTGGGGCACACACTGGCTGCTTCATCAGGGGAGACTGGCCTGTTGCCTTGCTGAGGGTGGTAGACTCCACACGACCTCCATTCTTTTTCCTTCCCCTGTGCCACTCCCTGCCTGTCTGTGTGGTAGATGGACAAGTCGAGGGGTCATGCCCTCACTCCTTGTCACTACTGAAGAATGGCTGCCCTTGCACGAGGGCTGGCCTGGGACGGCGTCTCGGGGAGGCTGCAGGGAGCGGGCAGAGCCTGCCAGTGACTGCTCTGTTCCTTCCCAGGGCCTAGTGTCCAGCCGGCACCGTCTCGTCATGTGTCAGTTGGCTGTGCAGAATTCCGACTGGATCAGGTAGGGCTGGCCTGATGGCGCCAGAGCGGGCGGCCTGGGACTCACTGGGGTGGTGGAGGAAGAGGAGGAGTCCTGGCAGCACTTTGGCTCCTGCCTGGGTCGGGGGGCCAGCGGAGACATCAGCTCCTTGCAGGCATGGTTTCACGGACCTTCAGGGGTGGCCCAGTGATGACTTTATTTTTAAGCAAGCAGTGGGGCCATGAAATCACAGAGGGAGCTTTCAGTGCCTCATGTTCCCTGGTACCCTTGGATCCAGGAGTATTCTTGGGGCTTCCAAAAACATCACTGGGCTTGGGGTGCAGCAAGGCCAGGAAGCCTGGGATGCCTCTCTGCTTTCCTCCCGGCACCCTGGGCGGGAGCTTGTGCCTTACCCTCAGACAGTCCCGGCCCAGTCCTCTGCTAGGATGGTAGATGCCTCGTTATCCTCCGAGCTTGCAGTGTAATTAAAGCAAGCCTCCACTAATTATGCTAATTATGCTCCCTGAAGTTCCTACAGTTATAATTTGCATGAGAAGATGACATTTAAAAAAAATAATAACACACCATTTGTACTGTAATTTCCCCCCATGGAAAAATCAGTGGCACCTAGAGGTTTCCATGGAAGGAGGGAAGTGAAGGGAAGCTGGCCTCAGAATGAGGGATGCAGAGTTGGGGGCATGAGATGGGGTGGCGGGGGTCAGGGGGTTCAGGTTCAGGGCACAAGCACCAATAGTAGTTCAATAGTGATCCTGCCGTTTGTGGGCAGTGATTGGTGGAGAAGCATGCCCTTTGTAGACTTCTGAAGGTGGATGTTAGAGAGAGAGAGGCAGCTGCCTTTCTTCAGGTGAGAAGCAGGCACAGTGAAGTCAAAGAGCTTGAGAGTTAACAGCACACCTGTGGTCAAGTCAGGAAGAAATGAGGCCTCTCAACACTGTATCTCATGATCTCCAGGGAAAAACGGGGTCCAGTGGGGAAAACACTGGGCAGAATGTTGTTACTGCCTGGATGTGATTAGAAGATTCTGAATTAATTCCCTCATCCATTCAACAAATATTTACAGGGCACATACTGCCCGCCCTGCCCTGCTCTAGGCACTTGGAAAATCAGGAACTCCAAGACTGAGATCACCAGGGAGGCTCAAAGCTGTCTCTAGAGATGGGGCTGGGCATGGCAGGCCCTGGACTCGGGGAGCCTTTCAGCGGCCAGATGTCTGCCCATCTCTGCCTGGGGGTGGTCTGGGATCAGGGCGGAACCAGGCTCAAGGAAAGCTGACTCCCCAAGGGTTTTCAGCTAGTGAGATCTCATCTCTGGGAACCTTAGGTGTGTGTGCATGGTGGGAGGTGGGCAGGGAATGCTCAGCTGCTGAGGAAATGTTTGGGAAAAATCCCAATTTAGCAGCTCCTGAAGCTGGCGATTAAGCTAAGGGCTTTATCAGGCTGGGGCTGGATCCCCGCTCATCTCACACCCCGGTGTGCAGAAGGGGTTGGCCAGCCTGCAGGTCTGTGCCCTCCAGCCTGACCGCCATGCCCATGTCCATGCCCCCAAGGTGCCCTACACACAGCGAGGCCAACGGGGCAGATCCCCAGCTCAGATAACTGAAGCCACCACTTGATGGTTCATTTAATCCTTATCACACTCTTCTAATCCCTGGCTCATTTAACCCTTCTCACAATCCTCTAAGATCTGGGGAGAATTCCCACTTTGCAGGTAAGAATAAGAGCAGGACACTCTGTGAAGCGCTTTACATACAAAACTCATTGAGCCCTTCTGATAGCCCTGTAAGAGAGTTACTGTCATTATTCCCATTTTACAGATGGCGGAAAAGAGCCATGAAAGATTGCATAACTTTCCCAAAGCCCCACAGTTGGGAAATTCTGGGGCTGGGATTAAACCCTGGCAGACTAGTACCAGCATCAATAAGCCCAAATATACCTCTCTCGTCTTATTCAGGGGGAAACTGAGGCTCAGGAAGGCGTTTCCAGCCCATGTTTTATCTGATTCAAGATCTCAGTATGTGGTCTAACCAGGCCTGCTGAGCTCCCTGAGCTGGGGGTCTTTGGGAGGGACCAGTAGGTGTGAGGATGGAAACTGAGGGAAATGTCTTTCCGCTTACGTCAGGGTGGACCCGTGGGAGTGCTACCAGGACACCTGGCAGACGACCTGCAGCGTGTTGGAGCACCACCGGGACCTCATGAAGGTGAGCGGGGCTGTGGCTGAGGGGTGGGTGGGCCACAGAAGCCAGGCAGGTCACCGAGAGGGGTGGCTGGCCTACTAACCTGGTTGGCCTTCCTACTTCTCAGCCAGCTGTGGGGAAAGCAGGACCGGAACAGCTCGAAGGAGAGAGGGAATTAGGAGCCCAGAGCAGCACCAGAGGCTGCCCCCTGCTTTGCTCCCCTTGCCAGATATGACTTGGGGTGGTTTTCATCTGGCCGCAAATTCAAGGTGGGATTCAGAAGACTTCAGAAAATGAGGGAAGAAGGAGCTGGGGCAGAGAAGAGCTCTGGGAGGAATCACAAGCAGCCAGTCCTCCTGCCCCACCCATTTGAGACCCATCAGGACTTCCTGCACAATGGGATGCTGTGCCTGAGGCATGTCACACCTGCCAGTCATTGTCCCGCCCCTCCTCACACCAGTCCCATGGCAGTGTTCTGATCCCTGTTTTATTAGTGGATAGAAGGAAGCACAGAGAGGTGAGCACATGTATCTGAGGACACACAGCGACTACTTGGTGAACACAGATGGGTGCCAGGGCTTGCAGCTAGGCTGCAGTGACTGAAGGGCTCATCAGCCAGTGGGTGAAGAAAGCACCCTCCGCAGATCAAAATCAGCCTTAGTCCCACAGCGACAGGATGAAAGCAGTACCACCGACAGCAGGAAGCCTAACCACCACGATGAGACTCACTCAGCCCCGCTCACCCCCACTGACCTGTGTGGTGTTCTCCCTGCCCAGACAACTGTCGAGTGGCCCTGCTCTGACACAGGGAGGGCCTCCACCCCTCTGTGTTTTCTACCGGAGGGCCTGGCAGAATCTTCTCCTTGGGGAGCTGTCAGCAGCCCCGATCACCCCACACTCCCACCTTCAAATTGTGCTTTCCTTTAATGGACATGGCGCTTTAGGGCTCCAGCCCATCCAGGAATCAAGAGCAAGAGCAGGGGACTAGCTGGCTGTCCCTTCATCTATCACATTTTCCCCCCTGGGGAGCAAAGACATCCATCTCCCTTTCCTCTGCTTTCAGAACCGTTCACACACATCCTGAGTCATTTCTGGTCTCCTTGCAAGGACTCCGACATAGGGTGGCACTGACTGGCTCTCTGTGCTGGCCTCAACAACGGCAGTAAGAAACGACATCCCATCTTACTGTATGAGGGTATATCTGTCAGAATGGGTCAAGACACACTGGTAACAAACACCCTTATATCTCTGGCTTCACACAGGTTTATTTCTCACACTACATGACACGTCAGCTGGGGGGTCAGCTGGGGGGTCAGCTGACAGTCTGTGCTCCTTCTAGTTCCACAGGAGCCTCAGGTTCCAGGATGGAAAGAAGGAATCGGGGCCCTGCAGGCATGCCTGAACCCTGGCTTTACCAGCCGTCAAGCCTGGCTACTGTTTCACTATCTCAGTGCCTGGGCTTCCCAAACCATCCTTCAATTGCTCCTGCCCAGAGGCGCGGGTCTGGCCCACAGCACTCGGCCAGGAGCCCCAGCATGCAGTGGGGGGCACAGGTCAGCCCGGAATGTAAGTCAGGCTGGCCCTCTCCTCAGAGTGGCAGCCTGGAGCTTCTTCCTGATGACCCTGGGCATCCCCAGTCCCAGCACTGGGCCAGTATTTCTGGCCTGAAGTAGGGACTGCCAGACAGACAGATGCAGGGCTGAAGAGGGGACTCAAGGCTGTTAGAAAGGCCTCTGAGAACAAGAGACATGGGGGGGGGGGGG